TGTCAGCACAGCGGCGAATTCCTAATGACAACTAAAATAATATTAGATGACAATTTCCCTTTAGACTTCTCCATATTCTCTTCCTCTTTTCTTTTTTCATATAAAATATATTACATTCCCATGACCAATATTGCCAAAAGCTATCGGTAGTGTTAACTAACAGGGTCGTCAGAGTACAAAAACGTCAAATATAGTATTCTTACTCTTAACAAATGCGGTCCGACCCACAATTTTCCCAGCAACCCAGGGATCTCACCCTATCAGATTTCATTTTAATTCGGACAAGCGCGCAGCACGGTTGCTCTTCCAAATAATCGGGATAAATGGATTAACTGACCTCTTCCGTTCCCTTTATGGATCGTAACAAGCTCTCTATCCGGTATAACATTTCACAGAAGCTAATGACGAAATGATGAATATGTGAGATGTTGATAGATTTGTCTCTGGAAACAAATAAGAGTTACCTTTCGACTAACAAGCAAAACCTGGAGCAAAAGGAAACAGTGAAATGGCGGGATAATTGCGACAACCTTCTAGCGCATGATGTTATTCTGCAATTAAAACACTTTCCAAAACAAAGCCTATTGCGGTTACCTTATTTTAAAACTATTCTCATCACTCGTATCTGTTGCGTTTTCCAGCCTATCGAGGAACACTTGAACATCATATAGACAAGATAACTGCCTATTATGAGCACATTCATAGATGAAGAATAGAAACTCTTCTGAAAAAATAGTTTTATCGTTTTCTCTTTTTGCACATTCTATACCATTTTCCAAAAACTTCTCAATAGAATTGTTAACCGATACTATCAAATCCTTAAATGGCTGAAGGTCTGTGTTTTGACCATGTTTTGGCTGAAAAAAACAAAATACAAAAGATTGAATACCACGTTATTTACCTCTTCAGTATAATCCTCTTCTCCAATTTTCTCTTTTTGCTTCTGCAAAAGTTCATCTTCTACTCTTTTCTCGAGTATTTCAATAAACCCATTGTTTTTCAACAATTCAAAAAGAATATTATCGGCAACAACGTCTTCATCGATAAAAGCCGCCATTGAAACTAATAAAACATTAAACTTGATCAAAAC